AAAGAGAGGTACACCTGTGCTTGGAGAGCTGGATTCACGTTGATTTCAACTTTTCTACTGTGCTCTCTTCTAAGTTTTCTCCTAAGGCCAGACCCTGTAGGCTACTGAGAAATCAATTCATGGCTCTTGGCATGACCAGAAAACAACAAGCGCCCCGAGCCGGCTTCGCCCATGGCCAGTTGTTTGTGTATGGCTGCCCCCGGTTCAATGGTTGAGGTCCGAAGGGGTGGTTGTCATTAGCAGAGTTTGTTCTGTGGGAATTGGGTTGGGTGGGAAAAGGGTCCATGGGGAATGGTTCACTCCTTCCTTTCTGACCTCACTGCAACTTACACAGGGTGTCCAGGGCCCTTGTAACAGCAGCTCAGATCAGGACCTGGGGGGTCCTAGCAATGAAAGCCGGGAGAATGCAGGAAAGCCTTGATCTGGGCTCCTTTGGCTCTCAATCACCTCTTCTGTATTGCTTGGAGTAGGCCAGAGAAACTAGTCACTACAAGTAGAATAGTGTCTTCATTGCAGATTACCTAGAAATGGCTTACTCCCTCTGGATGGTGTCACCTGTAGGACTGGGCCTGCTGTTGGTGTGATCATGCTGCCAGAGCCTTGGTGTGCTGCCCAGATGCCCCGGCCTCTCCAGATGATCTGGCTCCATTCCATTACTGCTCCGGGCTTGCAATTGTCGTCAGGTTTTGCATAGGTCAGATCTGGCTAAGCCCAGGAGACAGACTGGATTGTAGCTTCAGACAGAGGCCCTGCTCTTGCCGAAGTCCAGCTGAAGACTAGAATGGAAGGATACAGCACTTTCAGGGGACTGGGAGAGAGTGCAGAGACAGAAACCTTGACCAGGAGCCTCTAGGAGAGCAAATTTCTATCTGCCTGCCAGCTTCTCTCTGTGACTTTCAAGACACTTCCAACAGCCTCCTGAGCTACTGGATACCCTAGCCCAGTGGCTCTCAACCTTCCTAATGCTACAATACTTTAATATAGTTCCTCACGTTGTGGGGCCCCCAACCATAAAATTATTTTGTTGCTACTTAATAACTATAATTTTGCTACTGTTATGAATTATAATATAATATCTAATAGGCAGGCTATCTGATATGAGGCCCCCAAAGAGGTTGCAACCTCCCCTCTAGCCTTTCCCCACAGCCTTCCTTGGAGGGAGCCAGCAGTGACCACAGTTACTTAGGCTCTGCTTTTGTCTCCCCTGCTTGTTCGTGGCTTGTGTTAGCAGGTACCAGAAGGACCGTTAGATGAGGGCCAGAGCTAGGACCCTGTGGTAGGCAGAAGATGAAATAACGGAATTTGTACATCAGCTGAAGATAGGGAGCGGGTAAGGTGTTCTTCCTTCTAAAATAAGGTCAGTGGCCTCAGCCACCAAAGGAACTGAGTCAGTAGCACAAACAAATGGGACACAGTTCTCCAGGGACTTTCGCTGGGTTTTGGTGGAATGGGTTTATCCCTAGACAGCTGAGGAGCACACCAGGTGGGGGCTGCTAGTATACTGTCACTGTGTTCAGGCCTGCTGACTGACGAGGGACCATGTGTGAGGAGTGACCAACCAAGGGCTGGATTTGTGTACTGTATTCTGCCCTGGCTTAAGTTCCTGGACAAATCTGAGGCAGATGTTTGTGCAGAAGGGACAGCAGGGAGGGTGCTGGGGAGGCAGGCGCCCTGGGGCAGGCAGCAGACAATCAGTACTGTGATGCTGAAAGCCTTCTGCAGTCCTGGGGGAGGAGGCACCCCGGAATGTTTGCTGGACCTTTGACTCCCCCACACTGACTCATGTCTACATGTGCACCTCTGTCTCCTGCTCACCCCAGCATCACCTTGGGTGAGCCAGCATCCCGAGAGGAATTCACTGGTGAGCAGCTGCAGAGATGGGGAGCCAAGTTGCCATACCCACTCTGGTGGTGTTTGTTTTAAATCTGGCCTAGAGAATGGAAGCAATCTTGGAAGTCTGCATGGCAGAGGAGGCACTTGAGACTTCCTATATAAGCAAGGTGGTGATTTCGAGGCACAGGGACAGGGCAGAGAATAGCAGAGGCATGTTCAGGAACCAGCAGGGTGGGCTAACAGGGCCTGCTAAGAAGACGGTCTGGACAGACAGACAAGGATGGAATGCTGGTGCAGCTTGCTGGGAGAATTGGATTGTCCTCTGTCACCTTTGTACCTGGGTGGGAAGGGATTTTCACAAGTGAGTAACTCAAGGCAAGGGCCAGGTTCTTGGGCCAGCAGTCTGCTAGCCCTGGGGCTGGGACAGAGATGGGAGAGCCAAGAAGTAGGAAGAGGCAAGGACACAGTGACCCACTGATGGGAGGAAAGTTTCAGGCCCAGAGCAGCAGGTGAGGGGAAGCAGAGTAGGGTGGGGCTGGTGGAGCAGGTGGTTTCTGCTTGTGGATCTTGGGTTGGGGAAGCCAGGAGGCCAGGACTGCAGGGCTGACCCCAGCTGTTGCTGAAGACTCCGGTAGCAGTTTGCTTCCAAGCAGGCTGACCACAGGCAGATGGAAAGAGAGCCCTCCTTTCAGAGGAGCTAGGTTAGAGGCATGTCTTCTTCCTAAGGAAGCTGCTGCAGCACCTTTTTTTGTGGAACCCAGAACCTCATAGGCTAAGCCTGAGTCCTACCACTACCTCGCCTCTCCTTGTTCAAGGACGCCCCTCCTCCCTCTTTAGCTGGTCTTCTCCACTGGTGTGCTTCTCTCTGTTGAAGAAGGAAGGACCACGTAACCATGCTAAATCAACTCTCCAAAGCCCTTAATTCATGCTCCCTAAAACACAGACACAGTTTTAAGACTGCCCATCAAGACTGGAGGCAAGAGTACTTGTGGCTGGTGTGGCTAACCTGGGGTTCCACAGAAGCTGAGGTGGAAACCGAGGGAGAACCCAAGTTGGATCCGCAGTCCGGGGTAGCCAGAAAAGGGGAGTTGCTTTTGTTTTCATCGTCTGAAACAGTGAACTTTTCAGCGATAGAAGTTATTATTGGATTATGTTATATCCGTCCGTATTTGGTTTAATTTTAGCAATGAACTTGTGACCGAAGCGTGGCAGTGTAACAGTGCCTCCCTTGAGTGCTGATGCTGTTGTGAAATTCACTTTGCACAAGGATACAGAATGGGAAACCGAAGCCCTGAGTGCCCCGGAACCCGCTCAGATTGTACTGATCACCAGTGGCAGAGCAGGAGTGCAGACCCCGTCACTTGCTACTGTCGTGACCCCAGGGATGCCCAGCCCCTAGAGTGATCTGAAAAGGGAATCTCACGAAGAGAGCGCAGGGAGCTTATGTTCTCTTTCAAAGAGGGACATGCAGTCGGCAGCTGCTGCTGGTGGCACACATCTATAATCTGTCACTCTGAAGACTGAGACAGGAGGATCACTGCAAGTCTGAGGCTAGACTAGACAAGGCCCTCAAAAAACTACCAAAAGATCCCCCAAATGACAAAAAAAAAAACCCTATGCACAGTAAACAAGTGGACACATGGGTACCAAACTGTAGGGAATGCCATCCTCTGGCAGTGGGATTATGGATAATGCTTGTTTCTTCCAAACATTCTCCTGCATTCTCAAAATATGTAAGTGAGAAAGGCTTTTATTTGTTTGTGTCCAGATAGAGCCTCAATAAATTGTTTGGGATTGCCTTGAGTTCACTCTATGGCCCAAGTTTTAAAATACACTTTATTACACATTTATTACAATTATTTAGTGTGTGTGTGTGTGTGTGTGTGTGTGTGTGTGTGTGTGTGTTGTTTCCATCTATTGCTCAGGTTCCAGGGATCAAATTCAGGTCACCAGGCTTGGCAGCAAGCGTCTTACCTGCTAAACCATCTTGCCAAGCTCTTGCTTTAAACTTTTGATTCTCTTGCCTCAGCTTCCCCAGTGCTGGGATTGCAGACTGTGAGCCACCAGACCTGGCTAAAGGAAGTCAGTTTGCACCAGGTAGTATCATAGGAAGTCTGTTCACAGCCCTAAGTTCTGGGGGACAGTGATAGAGCTACAGACTTGGTTAATTTCTGATCAACTGGTATAGCTGAGTCTCAGGACAGGTGGCCAGGAAGACCACCCAAAACTGTGCTTCAACCAAGACGTAGAACGGGGCTGGGCTTGGGAGCACGTGACTGTCTCTACACTTGGGAGACCAAGGTAGAAGGATCACAAGTCACCCTGCCTACATGATGTCACCATGGAACTAAAAACAAAACAAAACCACCTAGCAGGACAGAACAGTTGAGTCTGAAGGTACCTGGGGCTCATCCGTTGGCCAAAGACCATCCTTCTGCAGACCAAGGCTCTTTGCTCTGTGCTTTGGGGTTAGAGGTCACCATGGGCTTTGAGAAGAAACGCCCTGTTTGCAGCTGGGGATTCTGGGACAGAAGCAGAGAGGAATGACTTGGGGAGTGGAGCACTGTCCTGTTAGGGTTTTTACTGCTGTGAAGAGACACCGTGAGCACAGCGACTCTTATAAAGGAAAGCATTTAACTGGGGCTGGCTCATAGTTTCTGAGGTTTAGTCCGTTATTGTCAAGTGCTGGCAAACAGGGTGCTAGTGAAGGAGCTGAGAGTTCTGCATTTTGATTGACAGGCAGCAGGAAGTGAATGTCACACTAGACCTGGCTGGAGCATTTGAGACCTCAAAGCCCATCTCTTAGTAAGGTACTTCCTCCAGCAAAGCCACACCCACTCCTACAAGGCCACACCTCCCAATAGTGTCAGCCCCTATGAGCCTATGAAACCATGTTAATTTCAAACTACCTCAGGGGGTAGGGTAGAAGATTCTAGCTGGAAGCCACCTTCTCAGGTAGAGAAGGTCCACCAGGTAGAGAAGGCCTTGGCTAAGATGCTCTGCCAAGAGAGGTGGGGTGGAGAGTAGGGGTCATCGGCAGGAAACAGGCTCCCATGGGGCTAAGGTAAGAAAGGAAGGTGACCTGCTGCCTCTGGCACTCTCTGCTCTGTGTCACTTGGGTACCACCATGGGATTCTCAAAGTGATCTCATTGTTTCCTTTGTCTAGAGACCACCTGGGAACGGCCCAGCAGTTCTCCTGGGATTTCAGCCAGCCCTGGCCATCACAGGAGCTCTCTGCCTACAGCAGGTAAGGCCCGCTCAGCATTTTGGGTGTGGGAGGGTTACATACCCACTTTCGTGGGGGTGCTGAGACTGTGGGTCCTGGGTCCTGAAACCTGATGTGGAACCTTGTGGACTGGACCTGGAAATTGTCCAGACCAGATCCCCGAAGCCTGCTTCCAAACATGGTGCTAACGTCCAGGCAGGACTACCTGCAGCTCTGGGCTCATTATGACTGCAGTACTTAGGAGGATTGGCCGGGAGAGGTCAGAGATCTTTCCAGGTCCAGAACAGAACAGAACAGCACCACATAGCTCTCATCAGCACTGAGGAGTGGAAGCTAAAAGAAGGTGGAAATTTGCAGGGGAATTCCTGGATGCCATGTTCTGGAAAGAAAATGGGATTGTGAGGATGTGAGTTGTCTGCAGAGGTAGCTGGGTAGCTGAGTGGTGGTTTGAGGTATACATTCCTATACTAGGTATAAGAATTGTCTAGAAACATCTTAGGTGACCTCTGATTTTTAGATGCGAGAAAAGCGACAGGGCTTGCCAGCAGGGAGAGCAGCTTTTGATTCTTCCGGGTTTCCCTCCTTCAGGCAGCCTCCCCTGATTGCTCTGTTTGGAACCCTCCGCTTCTCAGTCTGCATCCCAGTGTGTGGCCTTACTGCATTCAAAGTTCCTCTCCAGTGGAGGTTGTCCTCCCATGGCGTACTGAGGGGAGGGATGGCGCCTCTAAGTCTCCACACAGAGCCTGGCTTTGTTGCTGCATCCATTCACAAGCCATCGGTTGCCTAAACAGAGACTACACACACAGGCTGATCAGTGCCCTGTGCTGTCACCCATTGGGTCTCTCCTCCAGGATGGAGCACTTGGTGAATGAAGCTGGCTTGAACCTCCACCTAGAAAAATGTCAAGAGCACGCCTCAGCCCAGCATCAAGTGTGCTAGGCCTGTAAAAGATTAAGAATGTTGGAGCCATAGTTAAGAGGGTCAGAAGGGACCTGCTTACACCTCGGGGACGTATCACGGCATTTCCCGAGTGTAAGGCCATAGAGTACTGCATAACCAGCACCCTGGCAAAGAGGCTCAGCGGTCAGGCTCTCTTTGGAGGTTTGGTGGACACAGCCTGTTCTGAAAGGGACCGGATGCAGCAGCACACTTTATAGGGACTCACACTGTGTTCAGTCACAGCACACCCTGTTCTTGCCAGCCTGTCTGATCTCAACTCTGAAAGACTTTGCTGTCGAGGTGGGACTACCACTGGGGGAAGGTCCCACAGGCATCTTCTAGGAAAAGTCCAGAGGTCTCACTGAATGTCCCACAGGGCACAGAAGAGGGCCACAGCAAAGACTCCTGAGCTTACAGCAGCACAGCGGGAATTAAGAAACCAGTTTCGGTCTTACTGGAGTCTCTGGGCCATGTCCTGTAATAACAGGGAGGAATATCAGGCAGGGAGACTCTGTTTTGGCTTCTAAGGCCCACTCTTTGGTTTCATACCCATTGTAGTGTGGGAGCTTACCAGTGTATCATATACCGAAGAGTATATTCCAGTTGGGGGGGGGAAAGTAAGGCTTTCCCCCTCCCTTAGTGGGATTTAAAATCTAAGTGTGCCTACTGTCAGTGTCAGCTTTACTTTGTGAGATTATAACTTGTTCCCTGTGGTCTCAGCCATGCTGCTTCCCCCACCGGGCCTCTTTTTCACCATTCATATATTGGGAGCCCAGAAGGTGACCATGGCAGAGGGCCTGACCTAGCTTCATGACTCTGATAATGTCACTATGGAGCACAAAGATACGTCAGCCGTCCATCTACTGTCTACCTCCCTCCTACCCTTCCCTTACATCCCCTGTCCACCTCCCACCCGACTCTCCACCCTTGCTCTGATCTCATTCTGCTGCTGTGGTAAACACTTATCAAAAATGATTTAAGGGAGGGCGTGGTTTATTTCAGCTTTAGGTCATAGTCCATTCCTGAGGGAAGTCAGGGTGGGAGCTCAAACAAGAAGTTGAAATAGAAACCTTGGAAGAACTCTGTTGGCTGACTTGCTCCCTGGCTTATGATTAGCTAGCTTTCTTATACAGCCCTGAACCACCTGCCTAGGGATGGTGCCTCCCACAGTGGGCTGGGCTCTTCTGCACCAATTAATAACCAAGATAAGCCCCCAGAAGCCATGCCTGCATGCCAATCTGATCAATAACCAAGACAAGCCCCCACAAGCCATGCCTACATGCCAATCTGATCAATAACCAAGACAAGCCCCCACAAGCCATGCCTACATGCCAATCTGATCAATAACCAAGACAAGTCCCCACAAGCCATGCCTACATGCCAATCTGACCAGGGCAGTTCCTCTCAGATTGAGTTTTTCCTCTCAGATGACACTAGGCTGTGTCAAGGTAACATTTCGAGCTGACCAGAGCAATCCTCTATCTCCCAGCCATCACCCTCCTTCTCTCCATCTCTCACCCTTTATACCATCATCTTCTCTTTGCTCTTTCTCGGTATCCTCCCCCTTTTTCACCCTCTTCCATCCTCTGCCCTCCATCATCCAACCACCGTCCCTTCACCCACTTCCATCCATTCTCTATCCTCCTCCTAACCCTCAATCCTCTTCCTAACCCCCACTCTCTACCCTCAATCCTTCCTCCACTCTCCATCTTCCTGCTCCATCTACTCTCCTCCCTTCCTTCATCTATGCTCTATCCTTCTTCCATCCTCCCCCATCCGTTCTCCATCCTCCTTGTGTCCTCCGTCTTCTCTGCATTAACCCTCCATCCTCATGCACCATTCCAGCGATAGCAGGGTCTGGTTATGCTGTTGTTTTCTTTCCTTATATTTGAATCCAAGTCTCCTAAGTGAGGAGTGAAGTAGTGGCCACTCTATTTCTCTCTAGGGGATCACAGGCACAAGGTTTTTGGTTGGTTGGTTGGTTGGTTGGTTGGTTGGTTGGTTGGTTGGTTGGTTTGTTGCTGTTTTTCTAGCTCTTTTTCTCATTTTAGTTTAACAGAGATTAGACTTTATTATGGGAAGAGAAACAAGCACAGGAAGGAACCTGAGGTTGCTTTAGAGCTGGACCGAATCCTTAGGCTCCTGAAGTTGTAGTCTCTTGTCATGGAGACTCTACAGGACCTGGATCTCAGTGCTTTCTGTTTTGTTTGTTTCTGTGAAAGTCACAGTGGTAGGGTATCAACTTCTTTAATTTTTTATTATTTTATTTATTGTGTGTGTCTATAAAGTATGAATGCCAGTGTGTGTGCCATGTCAGAGGTCAGAGGACAGCTTTGGGGGATTGATTCTCTCCTTCCACTGTGGCACCCAGAGATCATAATTAGATTGCCAGGCTTGGTAAACAAGTGTGTTTACCCACATCTTGTTTATCCACATCTTGTGGACCCTGTCAGCCACCTTCATCACTAAATCTGCCACTGTTTCCCATTCCCAGGGAGTAGACAGACATCCTTGGGGGCTCAAACAAGCAAGGACAGAGGAAGTAGGCCAGGCGATCCCTGCACGCTCTAACACGGAGTGGAAGTGGGGCAAGGTGACAGTGACTGAGACCTCAGTGAAGAAGTGACATTTAGGACAAGATTTAGGGACAGGATTTAGGATAAGGTAGGGTTGGAGAGGAGTGGCAGAGGCAGTGAGCTTGACCAGGAACAATCAGGTCAGAGGTCCCTAAGGCAGGAACAGCTCCAGTCATATCAGTGGGCTTTAAAACAGAAGCTGGGGGAGGGGGCTGGGCAGGAGGGAGGTGGGGACCGGGTCTGCCAAGCAAAGTGAACCGAAAGAGGAATGCACTAATTTTCATGTTGCACGTGGAGGTGGAAAGGAGGGAAAAGCACATGGGTGAGCAGTACTGACTTCGTGAGCAGCTGCCAGGCTGTGCTAGCTCTGTGTTTATGTTAGTAGTGGTGAGGTTTTACACTGTGTGTGCGCATGTGCGTGTGTGTGTGTGTGTGTGTGTGTGTGTGTGTGTGTGTGTGCAGGGCAGTGAAGAAAACCAAGTCAACTTTCCTGAGCACAGACCACAGACATCCCCCGGCCCCTCCTGAAGGAAAACATGAGACTCTAAACAATGAGTGCAAACTACAGATTAAACCCCACTAAGCTGTACAGGGGTGGGTGAGGTTGGGAAGCTCAGCTTTAATTCCAGGGGCCCTCCTGTCTTCCACAGGTCTTCAGGCTCAGGGTAGGGATGGTTCATTCCTCTCACAATTAACCAAGTCAGCCAGGGTTCCGGCTGGGGAGGAGAGATCTAGATATATACCTGAGCCCTCAGAACACATTCTTCTTTTGAAATGTTGGGTGATATTTATGGTGACTACTGGGCCGGGGACGTGGCCTACATTGCCTCTTTTAACAACACCAGAGCTGAGAAATCCTGTCGTTTCAGCGGCTTTACTAGGGCCTCCCGCTGCCAGGCTTTCTAAATGAAAAGCCATTCAGACCACAACAGAACTCCTGAGAGCATTTCAGTAACGGCTGGAAACATCAAAGCCCCTCTCTGGGCTTGTTTAGCGTGGATTGTTGAAGGGTTGGTTTGTGGAGAGAGAGAGATCATACCAGGTACAGGGCAGGGAACTGGAGTAAGGAGTGGCGTTCTTTGAGTGCTGTTCCTGAGTCTCTTGAAGAATAAGGGACCACAGAGAGCAGCACTGTCCCTCCCTGTAGGGCTTAGGGGGCCATGAACACAATCTGTAGCTTGTCCTCAATACTGAGACCACGGGCCATTTGCGCTCTTCCTATGTCTTGTATGCCCAAGAAACTGGAATTTTTAACTTGCTTCAATTTAATAACTCTAAAAATATTTGGGGACAGGTTTATGCTTATAAGCAAGTAGAAAAAATAGCACAGAAAGTCCCCGTACAGCCTTTCTTTTCTAATTAAATTTTGGGGAAGAGGATGATAGCAATGGGGATGGGACTCAGGGCCTCTGTAGGCTAAGTGAGCACTCTGCCCTTAGCTGCAGTTGAAGGCTGCCCTGCAGATGGTCCAATCACTCTCCCTAAGCATGTCCACTGTATCCAGAG